TAATAAGGGTGTAAGGAAGTAGTAATAGTAGCTATATTATTACTCTTACTTAGTATATAATTAGTATATATATAAGATAGATAGACTATAAAATATACTTTTAGTAGCCTTTTTCTTAAGAGTAAAATAAGGTCTTAAACTAAAGTTAGCTTCTATTAGGTATAAGTATAATATATATAGAGTATACTTTTAATAAAGGTCTACTAGTTAGAGGATAGAGGTATAAGTTTATATATATAAGCTATACTAACCTATATATAATATTAATATATATAGAGGTAAAGTAAAATATATAATAAGGATATACCTTATACTTACTACTAAAAGGGGTTCTAATTATAATAGAAAGGTGTATAGCTTACTATAAGTATATTAGTATATTCTCTATATATATAGAGCTTATTCCTAATTCTATTCTTATTATATTATAATTATAGCTTAAGTTATATATTATATTAAGTGAGGGTAAATATAATCTATACTTAATATATACCCCCTCTATACTTTAAACTACCTTTAAACTAAACTTAGTATAAAAGTTTAAAAATAATTCTAAAAAATAAGAGAGAAGTCTACTAAAATAAAGCTTATTTCCTCTTTATTTATAGTATAAAATAGTTAATATAGGCTAAAAGAGTATAGTTAGTTTATATAATATATATAGTAATTATATAGTAAGTATATAATATCCTCTAGCTATATATATATATAACTTATATAGTAGAACTATAATCTATAATTCTAGTAGAAAATTAGATTAATATAGCTATATTTAATATTAGTAATATATATATATAGGTAATATAAAAGATAAACTTATATAAATACTTCTATTTAATTAGCTATTTAGCTAATAAGGCTATCCTTAAGACTATAGCTAAATAATATATCAGTATAATATATATAGAGAAGGTATAAAGTATATATATAGGCTCCTATAGGAAGATAGTATTATACTAAGTATTAAAATAAATAAAGAGATATAAGGTACTATATAGAGTTAGTATATATACTAAGTATATACTAAGATATAATATACTTTATACCTACTATAATCTTTAAGTTACTAAGATTAATATAAGTTAAGTTAATAACTATATTAGGTTAGTATATATATAGTATAAACTAAAAAGAGAAGGATATATTAGTACTAAAATACTACTAATAAGTATAGTAGTATTATTATAAAAGTTAAGTAAGAAAGTGTATAGTATATATATAAGATATCTTAAATATATAGTAAGCTAAAAGCAGAAAATAACGCTATATATATAGCTACTACTAATATTAACTATATAGCTAAGATATTATTAGTATATATAAGGAGGTAGTATAATAGATATTAAATTTATATATAACTATTTATACTAAAGAGGTATTTAATAAGGTTAAGTATAGCTATTAAATATACTTAGTATATATTAAACCTATAGAGGATAACTTAAGATATACTTATATTTATAGCTAAAGTAATATTAGTAAGGTTAGCTTAAGATATATTAGCCTAAATCTAAGTATATATATAAAGTATACTAAAACCTACTAGTAAGCTAGAAGTTAGGGTTATTATTAATAATTAAACCTAAAATATATTAGTTTTATAATAGTTTTAATATAAGCCTTATATATACTAAGTATACTATAGAAATAGCTAAACTAGAGGTATAGATTAACTGCGTTATTAATATTAAGGTTAGTAAAGTTTTATATAGATATCTAAGATATTATTAGTATATATTAAATTAATACTAAAAAAGGTACTTTTTCTATTTTAGTATTAGTAATATCTATTATAATTATACTTAGAGGAGGAAAAGAAAAAAGAAAGCTTTAATAGAGGAGATATAAGGTATATACTAAGTATAGGCTATATATAGCTAAGGTAGAGACTAGGGCTACGCCTATTTCTAGGGTAATATATAGTTTACTTATATAGAGGCCCCACTTATGTAGCTATATAACTATAGGAAAAAAAAATCACTATATAGGTAGGCATAAAGTATACATAACGCGGAGGATCTATTTTTCCGGCACGGCCATACCCCTGTGGGTCCTTTTTAGACCCCCCTGCCAGCAGGACTCCGCGATGCATGCAGTGCGAAGTTGAAATTTTGCTGTGCAAGCAGGGAAGTCGCTACTCGCGTGAGTCACGGCCGAAGGAGATGGAAAGTACTTTGGAAGTTTGCAGGGAATCAAGATTCTCTCTGGAGTTCGCATTGAAGGGGTTGACGAACCGGCGTCACTCCTGTCCTGCATGGGTTGTCGCTGTCAAAACGTGTTGTCGTAGGCAAGGGGGTGCTGGGGTTACAGGTTACAAGGCCGGCGAGTTGGAAGAGGATAAGCTCACAAGCTTTTTTTCTTCTTCTTTGCGTTTGCGTGGTGAGACCAGGCCTTCAAGGACTCGCAAAAAAATGACACCGGCTCCCTGGGCTGAGCTACGCAATGTGCGGGGCTGCGCTTGTGTCATTTCCGGTGATTTGGTTGGGCGGACTGCCTCTTGGTGCAGAAGAGGCGGGGGAGGGGAAGGGAACCTAGTCCTCCCCAAGGCTCAGGGAGAGAGAGGGGGGAAGACGCGGATGTTGGTGTGTGTGAGTGCGTGCGTGTTGCCTTGCAAAAAAGGGGATACCTACACATGGGATGGATGGAATTAGAGGTGGGCGGTGAACTTTGGGGGTAGTGATGTGTGTAGGTTGGAGAAGGGACCATGCTTGTTCTGCGCCCGTTTGGAGTGACGCGCCAATTCCCACTGGTTCGCCCGTTTACCATTCGGGACTGCATTTCTTGGTGTGTCCTGGAGATACATCCAGAGATACATACAGGCGATGCGGGTGACATTGGGCTTGGGGCGGTGCATTTCTTGGAAGCATATAAAGAGCTAGGCCAGCGCCGGATGATGCTGCTGCCTCCTCATCTTGGCCTCCGTCAGCAATCAATCAACCTTTCACACATTACACCCTACAAATACACGAAAACATCCTCATCGCCTCGATCAAGTACTTCCAAGTCGAGCAACTCGTCTACCACTACAGCCAGTCAATACCGTCAACATACTTACCACCACCACCAACACCACCACATCACCCAGCACCGCAAACATGGGCAGAGATTCCTTCTCCGAGACCTCCACCATCTGCTCCTTTGAGAAGGAGACCTCACCAGAGGCCGTCGCCCCCGTCAAGCTCTCAAAGAGACAGAGAGTGAAGCGCGCGCTCCGCGACATCGGACACCCGCCCACGTATCGCTACGACCTCGAGCACGGCATCGACACAATGAAGACTGTCCCCGTCGGACCCCAGGGCTCTAACATCCTCAACCAGCCGTCGCGCATCTGAAAACGCCGAAAAAAAAACAATCAAAATTTTGTTACGCAAGATATGCACGAGCGAAAAGGGGGAAAGACGTTCTCTTTCTCCTGATTACAACGGGATACCAATGAGCGATACACACAAACGGCGGGGCGTTTGGGCGGGGTACTTCCCTACGGGGAACCCTGATGGGCTACATTTCTTTGGGACATGAGATTTTTTCTTTAAAACGACAAATGATGAGGTCGTTTTCTGCTGTTTTTCTTTGGTCTTGCTGAGCAGGCCGGGTGCCGGCAGAAACGGACCTTGGGGCACGGAGGCATTGCGGGCGGCCGCTGCTTGTAATGAAGCGGGAGGATGGGGAGGGGCGGGGCTGTGGATGGCTTGCGGGTTTGCCGTGTTCCAAGGATTGGGTCGACACTGGGCTGGCTTACAGCATTTTTGGGAGTTGGGAATGAGCAAGATTGCCGGATACCCTCAGATTCGGAATGTTTGGATAGAACAGATACCATCAAGCTTTTTTCTCCTTGTTAACGTTTCGGTGCCTTTTCGCAACTGTGATGAGCTCTGCATACCTCTGATGCGGGAGAGGTGTTGGAACGCGATGCTGACTGCTTTTCTTGTATGCATCAATTCCTTCCATCTGCCGTTATCTCAAATCACCATTGTCAAAAGAGTGTGTCACTTGCACTTGATGAGTGACATCGCTGCATTTCTCGGTTCTACTTAACGGCGGAGAGAACCGGGCCCCCAGTGGGCTCCATTTTTGCCGTCCGGTCCTGGAGGCCCGGTTGAGTGGGGCGACCGGAGCGGCGAGCCATAGAGTGCATTCCATTCCGTCCATCGGCGGAGATGTAAAGGTTGGTACACACGTTCGCCTCATAGACTCAACTGAAACAAATTTCTAAATCCCAGGACATAGTCTCGAAATGCCAATGCATGTTCACTCCTGGCTCTGAAAGCCCGCTGTCTGCAAGCTCGCTGCTACGGCGGGACGCGGCCTCGTGCAGAAGTCCAGCATAAAGGCAGTGGCAGCCCACAACAATGGCATGCCGAGGCCGCGCAACTCACCAGGAGAGGAATAGGGTCTTCCTGATGGTGTCCTTTTCGAGCAAGACTTCCATTCTAGGCAGTTTCGGTATCAGATGAGGCGCATGGAAGAGATGAGCAAAGTACGTCGCGACCCCCGAACCAACCCATCGAGGCTGAACCCAACGATTGCTATGCATAGAAATTGACGTAAGCAAACTCAATTCTGCAAGAATCTGTTGCGTGGTACACGTCTATCTCATGTTCCTGAAACATTTCTACCAAATGAATCTATTCTGGGATCAACAAAGTCTGAGCGGCGGAGGGACACGGGAATCAGACCGGAGCGCCGGCGTTGGGGACGGCACGCGGTTCAGCTTAGAAATCACGACATCTCTCGGCGCCGAAAGACTTCATCTCTCCCAAAAATTATTCAGCATTCACGTCCGCGGGAATATTCACTAGTCGGCATACCTCTACAAATGAGATTTCGGGCATCTTCATTACATCAAAATACAAGTACAAAATGCACCCAAGCCCCCGAGGTCAACGGCATGGCATGCCACACGTCACGCATCAACCCCCGTTAGACATCAGACGGCCCTTACATCATACCCAACAAGCTTAAACATCCTCACCCTGAAGTTTGCCGTTCTTTAGCCAAAAATGGTAAGCATCCCAAAGACGCACAAAGCGGTCGCCACGCCCGCCAAACGCGCGCCCCTGATCCTCCTCGACCGCGCCACCGAGGCCCCCGGTCCGGGCGAGGTCCTCATCCACAACGAGTGGACCGCCTCCAGCCCGCTCGACCTCCACCGCGCCGACGGCGGCCTGCTCTGCACGTACCCGGAGGTGATGGGCGGCGGGGCGGCCGGCACCGTCGTCGCGGTCGGCCCCGACGTCGATCGTCTGCAGGTCGGCGACCAAGTCTTTGCGTTCGCGTTCCACCTGCCCCGCGAGAAGGCGCACCAGGAGTTCGCGACGGTGCCGGAATACCTCGTCTCGAAGCTGCCGGGGAACGTGACGCCGCAGGAGGCCGTCACGGTGCCGACGAACCTGATTACCGTGTTCCACGCGGCGACGGCGGATCTGGGACTGGAACTGCCGTGGCCGAAGCCCGCGGGGTGGACGCCGCCGGGCGGGAAGGGCGTGGCGGCGGTGGTTGTGTGGGGGGCGGCGAGCAGCGTTGGGGTGTACGCGGTGCAGGTGCTGCGGCACTGGGGGTACGGGAACGTGATTGCCGTTGCGAGCGAGAAGCACCATGCCTACCTGAGGAGCATCGGCGCGAGGGAGACGTTCAGCTACCGGGACAGCGATGTGGCAAGGAAGATTCTGGGGGTGGTGGGGGAGGAGGGGTTGCCGTATGTGCTGGATTGTATTGGGTCTGTTGAGGGGACGCTGAGGCCGTTGACGAAGATTGCGGGGAGGGGAACCAAGGTTGCGGTTATGCTGCCTGTCATCGTGCGAGATGCGACGGAAGAGGTTGAGCCTGAGTATGAGATGGATGTGAGCAAAGTGCTTGTCGGCGAGTGGGCTGCGGGTGTCGAGGTGAGGGGAGTCAGGACGCATTTTTACCTGGAGGTAAGTTTTCTTCTCCCGCACCACGACGTGGACAACTGTGCTAACTTTGGACACAGAACGAGTTCTTCAAGGAGAAGATGCAGAGAGAGATCGTTCCCACGTTGCTTGAGGAGGGCATCATCAAGCCGAACAGGCAGAAGATTGTCGAGGGCCCAACCATGCTGGAGCGCGCTCAAAAGGCCATCGAGCTTCTTCGAGCGAGAGATCCCTCGGGTGAAAGGCTTGTATGGAGGGTGTCAGACCTAAAGTTGTGATAATGGGCAAATCAGCATAGTACATATGGAGAGGCCACCTCGAGCCTGCCCTTTGCATTCATCACTTATCCAATCCAGTTCATAATGAGGTCCTGATATGCTTTTGACTTTGTTCCTGCTTTTGTAATCTGCCGACCATCTGCTGAATGAAGCTCAAAACTCCGACCGTGGGAATGAATGCCTCCTGACCAAAACAATGATAAAACGCCGGTGAGTGGCCTTCCGCCGCATCTCTCCCACCACTCTTTTTTCTCGGGCCAAAACGTCTCCAATCCATACATCACGTCCACAACATCCATTACGCCTTGCGGCTCTTCTTGGACTCCTCTACCTCGTCGTCGTCGTCTCTCTCATTGTCGTCCGCAACGTCCCTGCTGCGCTTGAGACCCTTCATCTTGCGAGTCTGCAGCTCGCTGAGGTCCTGGCGGCCGACGTGGATACGTCCCATCTTGTCACCCATGCTGTCGGTGGTGATGTTCTTCTTGGTACGCTCCTCGGTGCCGCGCGGCTTCTTCATGGCCTCCTTGAGCATGGCCTCATCGGGCTCGCGCTGGCGTCCGACGCGGAAGTCCATGCGGGGGCCGATCTCGTTGACCTCGACGCGCGGCGCCTTCTGGCCGCTGCGCTTCGTGCTGATGGTGTAGCAGCGCAGGCGGATGGCGGGCTTGTCGTTGCCGTCGGCGGGCTCGTCGGCGGTGATGGAGACGATCCACTGCAGGCCCTCGACGTCGATCTTGTCCGTCTGCTCGCCGCGAAAGAAGTCGATGAAGAAGGAGCGCGCGTGGGTGTACTCGTTGGCGATGGGGCTGTCCCAGGCGGTGCCGGAGAAGTTGAGCATGGGCTTGAGGCCGATGGGCACCTTCTTGCCCTTGAACTGGGCGAGCGTGCGGAAGGACTCCGGGTCGAGGTAGAGCTCGAGCATGTCGAGGACCTTGTGGCCGAAGGTGCGGATGAAGGTGATGGCGTGGGGCCTCTTCTTGGAGGTGTGGCCGAAGACGACGATGGAGGTGTCGTTCTTCTCGGAGAAGAACTCGATCGAGTCGGCGTTGTCGAAGGGGTGGATGTCGTTCTTCTTCACGAAGCGCTTCGCGAGGGGCTGGCGGAGCTGGTAGAGCTCGTTGAGAGCATCTTGAGTGACCTGCGAGCACGAGGTTCCGCGGAGGAAGAGGGCTGTCTTGGGGTTCTCTCTGTATGGCGGCGGTGGTTAGCTTGCGGGAGGAGGTCAAAGTCGAGCGAACGAAGAGGACGTACTGGGTCTTGGCCTCGCGCTTCTCGAGTGCGCGCTTTGAGCGAGCGTTACGGGGCTTTCTGTAAAATATTGTTAGAACTTCCGATGACGAGTGTTCGATTCGGGTGGTTGCGACTCACATTTGACGAAGCATTGTGCCGTTGGTCGAAGAGTCGTCCGTCGGGTGTGTTGCATGTGGCTGGGATGCGACTGGAACTGGGACTTCAACTGGAGTTGCCCGAGCCGTCAAAAAAATTGCTTATCATCATTGAAGAGTTTATCTTATCTTATCGGTGCCCCTCGGGTGAGCTTTTCTGGGAGCCAGCTGGTGCCACTCGGCGGACGACTGACAACAGGCGGTGGGTCATCACTTACACCCTCGCGACTCCCTTCAGATACAACAACTATGAGCATTAACTGCGATGTCTAGTACTACGCTCAGAAATTGTTTCCCTGGCATTGATTCGTCGCTTGCAAAAATTCTTTGGTTCTAATTTCTTCAATCTCCCAAATTTATCGCTGGACGTCCGTCCAAAACTCTCCTAATATTCAACGCACTGAATAAGGTGTAGATGAAGCCACTGTAAGTAAATCGACTCCGATAGTCACTTGATTCCCGTTGTTTGAGTGGTTTACTATGTGTTTCATAGTAGATGATTTTGATCATAATGTCTTGAGAGCTTCTATGTGTCGATAGACAATCACTTCTTACCAACTCATGAGGACTAACTGCTGGCAACAAACACACAAATACAGTCCTGGTGCAAGTTCAATACCCCGTAGTCAATGTTCTCCTTGTTTGCCTTTTTTCGCTCTCTGATATCATGGGTGCGCCGACCTTTGAATATGTACATCGAATCCATCACTGGTTCTCAAAGCCATACGACCTAGTTCACTAGCTCATACTTCTGACTCACAAGACCGAGACCCTCTCTCGAGTACAGAGCCAAAAAGTGCGTAGAGTCGAGGTTGAAGACTCCAGGCCAGTGAGCTTCAGCCTCGCCCGTGACAACGCTGGCGCTCCATGTCTTGCCTTGATCGACACTTGTAATGACCTTCATTTGACCATTGTTGTACCCCTTACCGACGTCGACGTCCTCGTTGGTCATGAAACTGGCCACCAACGTGCCCCACACATTGTAGACCTGAGGGGCACCAGAGAGCTTGCCGTCACGGGCAGTGTACAAGCTTCCACGCTCTCCCCAGGAGTACCCATCGTCGTGGGAAAGAACATAATCGACGTTGAATCTACCCTCTCTTGTGTGCTCAAATACGGCACTGCGTGTGATTTCTGTTAGTTTGTGTGGAGAAGACGCATATCCAGAAGAGAACTTACATCAGGTTTCCGTTGTTATCGATGGGCGCAACACCAACCATGCCATCACGAGAAAGACGATCTCCACCAGAAACCTTGACCCAGCTGGACCAAGTCTGACCTCCATCCTTGGAGTACTTCATGAAGTTATCCTGGTCATCAGCCGAGTTCTCGGCAGAGTAGTAGCACTGCAGAGTGCCGTCCTTGGCGATACGGAGGAAGGGCTCCCAGAGTCCGTTGACTCCACTAGGAACATGCTCCTCAACGGTGGAAAGGTACTTGAAGTTCTTGCCGCCGTCGTCGGAGTAGGAGACGGAAATGCGGAAGTAGGTGTAGTGGAGATCCGCTCCGGTGCGGTCGTGGTTGCGGTAGGCGTACAGGATTCGGCCGCTGGGCAGCTGCAGAGGGAACGCATTGTCCATGTCGTGCTTGGCGACTGCGCCGCGGAAGACTTCGCCAATATGCTGCCACGACTGCGCGCCGTCGGTAGATTTGACAACTCGCATTATCTTCGTGTCGCCTTCGGTTGCGCCGTAGCCTCCGATCAAGCTGCCGTCGTTCATGAAGCTGACGCGGAGATAGTGACTGTTCGTATCGATGACTACGGGCTCGCCGGCTTTGACGACGCGACCGGGCAGGCGCTTGTCCAGGGAGACCGGGCTGCTGGCTCCGAGGCCGGCGAGAGCCAGAGTGGCAACAAGGGTCTTGGTGAGGTTAAACATTATGATTAACGGGGAAGTTGAGGACTCGAGAGTGACGAAGCAGTTGGGATCACTAGCCTCGAGTCTGGGTGTGCTTCTTTATGTATTGCGTCCCCTCAACGACCTATCTTACGAGTCGCCTGGTACAGCAGTCTGACGGCATTTACCGGTGCCATTGTGGTTATTTTACCACAGCCTTGAGCAAGGTTGGCGATGCAGTCTCCCTAAGCTTGTAATTTGGCTGCCTGACAGGAGAGCGGGTAAAATACTCTGAATTGGGAAACTTGCCAGGGCCAGAGCATCGCGCTGTCATCTTTTTCTGGGGTTCGTGCTGGGCGGAGGCCATGTCCGGATCCTTCGCTGAAAGCACCCCTGTTTTTCGCTTTTACGACTTACCACACGCAATTAGTTAGGCACGACCACATTGACAACATGGTATGATTTTGCTTCCTAAAAATCCTTTGAAAATCAGTAGCATAGCGTTTGACCGCTGCAAATCTACTTGGGTAATGATATCTATCACGGCAAATCTCAGATTTAAGCTGCGACACAGACTTTACTCGAGATTCTCTCAAAAATCACATTTAGTGAGGCAGCATCACACAACCCGGCGCTTAGATTGCACCCTACTCCGTACCTATGTAATTGTTCGTTGTCTTCCGATTCTATGGACCCACAGAAAAGACGACCAAGGCAGCTTCACCAAAGTCCCATTTACGACTCCGAAGGATCGTGTCCCTGGGACCCATGTGGTGGGTTACAGCTACTCCGCCTGAAAGTGGCCTCCTCGGACTATTGCAGCTTCAAGATTGACAACCTAAAAATGCGGTCTGACTTTAAGCTCAATGCAGAGAAACGGCGGATTCGGGAGCAACCGAGGTTAGTTAATGAGATGCTTAAGGTTGGATTCGTTGCAATAATAGCGAGTTCAACGAAGTAACGTGGAAATTGGTAAATTCCTACAGGATCCCAGGCAACAGCTTGACACCCCACATTGATCCAGTAACATGGATAACCAGCATGGATTCAGTTGTTTGCCCATGACACGATGATCTGGAGGTGAAGCGACAACACACTCTACTCCAGTGCTTCTACAATAGCAGTGCACTTAACCTCCACAACCAGCTTCGGACTTGGCAACTCTCTCACCCCAATGGTCGTCCGAGCCGGAGCCTCCTCAATGTTTGGATAAAACTCATTCCATACGGCGTTCATTCCGGAGTAATCTTTCTCCATATTCACCAAGAATATCGTTGCGTCAATGACATTTCCGAGGCCGCCTTTGTTTGCAGTGGCATGCTTGATTACCTCCTCTATGTTGTGGAGGATTGCGGCTGTCTGCTTTCGTATGTCTAACACTTGAGTGCCGTCGCTTCTTGTTTCGGCGCCGTCGAAAGTGCCATCTGGGCGCCTGGAAGAGGTCCCTGAGATGTACAGTGTTCGATGACTTGTGGCCGGCGCCAAGCGTCCGCGGGGATAGTTGGCGAGACCAGTGACGGTGCCGGTTGGGAGAATGACTGCGTCGCCATTGCTGGGCATTTTGTCTATTGATTTGACGATAGTGTGAGTGACGAGAGATTGCGAGCGAAAGTGTGACTTGTTTTGCCCTAGAGAATGGTAGTTGGAAATAATTCAGATGACTGAACTGGCCGCGTTTCGGATGCGAATTCCGGTATATATGTCTTTATCGGAATAGGCTTGTTTGTTGTTATTGAGTGAGAACGTCATCTATGAGTTGGTAATATCTTTGAGCGGTATCGGAATGTTTCTTTCGGTGTTTTGCTTCATTTTCCGCCAATTACCGGCGTCATCTTCATTTATGCCGAGGCGGCAATAAGGTTCACCTCGGGCGTTGCAGCCGAACACCGCATAGTGCAAGATTGAATTGACTCGTTTATCTCAGCGTGAGCATCTTGTGTAATACTCCATACTAATACTACCTCGGCCAAAACTCTAGAAAAGCCGTTAGTCGCAAAGGTCTTCAGACTTCAACTAATACCAGTGAAGCGTTACATATGAAGCATCGCTCACGGATTCTTGAGAACGCTCAACTCAACGTTAATCATTTTCAGCTTGATTCGGTAGAAACCATGGCGAGTCTCGCGACATGCCCGCCCTTGACCAGGGAATCGGTCTTTGAAGCACGAAAGCTCATCCAGTCTCATATTCATAGAACTCCGGTCCTCACAAACAAAACTCTGAGCCAAATGGCGTCTACACCGAGGTCGTCTTCTACCATTGGTGACAGAAAGCCTGCCAAACCTGTCATTAGACTCTGGTTCAAGTGCGAAAATATGCAGCGCATCGGCGCCTTCAAAGCTAGAGGCGCTTTTCACGCTATTGAGAGACTCAAACAGGAGCCCGGATGGCTTGAAAATGGTGGGAAGACCAAAGGAGTCGTTGGATTCAGTGCAGGTGAAATTGGGAGTAGCCACTTATGCCCCTGGACTTGAAGCTGACAATCCCATGCAGGAAACCATGCACAAGCATTGGCACTGGCAGCTAGAGAGAATGGCATCACAGCGCATATTGTGATGCCAAGCACCACTCGCCCTTACAAGATTGACGCAACCAAAGGATACGGCGCTAATGTTGTCGTCTGCGGCCCCAAAGACCGTGAAGCTGTCGCGGCTAAGATTGTCTCGGAAACAGGCGCTCGTCTCGTTCCGCCATTTGACCATCCAGATGTGATTCTCGGCCAGGCAACTGTTGGCCTGGAGATGCAGGACCAAATTGAGGGCCTCGATGCCGTTATCGCACCCTGCAGTGGTGGCGGCCTTCTTTCTGGCGTGGCATTGAGCTGCGAGGGAACAGGAGTTAAGGTTTTTGGAGCCGAGCCTGAATTTGAGGGGGCTGATGACGGGCGCAGAGGCTACTATTCAGGAAAGCGAGTGACTGAGGTCAGTACGAGAACAATTGCGGACGGCTTGATCGGCGTCGTTGGGGCGAGGCCTTGGGATATCATCTATGAGAGGAGGCTGGTCAGCGGCATGTATGCGGTTTCCGAAGAGGAAATCTTGGAGGCCACAAAGCTTATCCTAGAACGGCTGAAGTTGGTGGTTGAGCCGGCTGCTGCCGTACCACTGGCTGTTGCGCTTTTCAACGAGGAGTTTAGGGTTATGGTTGAGGAAGAGGCTGGTGAAAAAGGCTGGGATCTTGGCCTGGTGTTGAGTGGCGGGAACATCGGCGTCGACGGGCTCGCGAAGCTTTTCTCTTAGATGTCGAGGGTTGTTGAGCCGGACTTCGACAGTGGTGACTATACAAAGAACAAAATACTCATCCACCCTATTCATGTAACGTTCTCTTCAATGATGACACTTGATTATGCCAAAGTATGAACGTGCGCGACGGAAGTCTTCGGAAACTGCTCTCTTCTAGATTTTATCGTAGAGGCTGCCAGCACACGGACGCTCTCCCAAGAGCCACAAAATGAGATAATCCTGGCGCCAGAATCACTTCTCAACCTTAGGACAGTGATGTATGGGCGATGGAGCGCTTCTTTTTCTTCGAAATTCGCAACCTTTTTTGACCCGATTGTCGCCTTGAACATTTGCAGTTTGTAGACAAATATGATATAGCCAACTCACCAATAGTAACACCCTTTATTTTCATGGTCTGTCCCTGTCGAACAGAGCAGTTCAAAGCTGCATATCTCTGGCATTGGAAGCAGGGGCATGCAGCTCCGTGAGCGAAATATTCCTACATTGAAGTTCTAATAATACCGTCCTCGATTGACTGAGTTTTACAAAAAGAGCATACAAAAAAAGAATGTGAACGGCTGAGCGCACTTTTACGTGCGTCTTCAACTGAGACCACCTCATAAATCTTGACGTTCCCACATCGAACATGAAATCCCAACATGTGGATGTTATTTCACATATCATGGTAGATCAAGAGTCCCTTATCGCCCAAAAAGTTGATTCAGAATTCAGGCTCGGCATCAAATGCTCGCCGGTCGTGTATTCGCGGGCTTGGGCGCAGTTGCAAGCGCAAGACAAAAGGCTGAAGTTAATTCTTAAGACAAAAATATGTCATAGTTGCTAGACGACTATAGGTGTGCCTTGATAACAGATGTTTGAAACTGTGGTATTGATTAAAAAGGCCGTCTTAGCCGGCGATGCGCGTTGCCTTATATTGCTCACGGGTGTTCTGGGAGCTGCTGGCCTGACATCAGAGACGATGTTCTGAAGTAAGCCACACTCTCTGAACGCGATCGATTATGGCCCACAGTATCAATAGTTCTTGGGGGCTGGCTCTAAGCCACGCGCAAGAAGAATAAGGTGTGTCTGCCATTTAGTGTAGATTGCGGAAATGCCTTGGGTTTAAAGTTTGACGGGCGGCCCCTTCATTGCCGAGCCTATCTAAAATCTTTATGCGCACGTCAAAAATAGACACAAGTCACCAGGTCGTGCAGATCCATGACTCGATGTTAATTCACATCCAACAGAACATGCGGATTCCACATGGCTTCTCATATGTGCAAATAAATGTCAAACATATTGCGGTCTGCTATGGGAACCATGACTAGAGGCTCAAAAAATGTAGGCGAAATACTTAACCGTCTGATCTAGCCCACGTCAGAAACACAAAGGGCCCAGGGACAAGTCTGTCTACACGCTGACCTTGAACATCCATTCTTTTGCGGGCTAGGTTTCCTAGCCGTTTCTCTCACTATGTATTCAATTCAGGCAGTCGCTCTTTTCTTCACTCTTGTTTCAGTGTGTAGCTCTCAACAGTCGGGACCTGTGAGGTCTCCGTTCCCTTCAATTTCTGGTTTCCGTAACACAACCAGTGTCCCTATATCGACGTTCATCTCTATCACCCCAACACCAGTGTCCTCATCAGTCGCCGCAACATCTTCAGCCCCGGCAACCGTGACCGTAAGCAATGGCGAGACTGTCGCCGTTGCAGCCGGCGTAGTCGTTGTCGGTGCTGGCATAGGCGGCTTTTTCACTGTCAACGGTGTTACGACGCCTATCGCAGGAGGCGCATCTGTTGTCGCCGGATCGTCGGCTGCGAACCCGGGTGACCCGAGCAATCCGGATGATCCAGACAAACCAAAGTCTAACGACGGCGACATTGCGACGAACTCGGGGCCAGCATCTGTGCCAGCCTCGTCCGCACCGCCGGTTAGCGCGACCAGTTCAGATATCCCCTTTTCGAGCACATCGTCGTCCGCAGTCCCAACAGGCACAGGTGTGGACTACATGATCTTTGCCAAGGAAAACACCGTCAAAGCGGACGCCGACGGCTTCGGCAACACCCTGGCAGGTCTGGTTGGTGCAGATAACATAGACAACATTGTGAATGATGCCGGCGTTCCCTATGCCTGGCGTGCAAACCTCACCCCCGATCAACTTGAGAAGGTCAAGAACGACCGCGTAATCGCCGGGACGGACATCAATGACCCTCTGACACGCGATGACGACCCGCCGGCTGGAGCCCAACCGTCGGCCACTCAGCAGAAGCGAGCCGAAGTCACGCAGACACCGATCGCCAAGAACGACATCTTTGACCTCCGTGTGCTTTCGACGCCGCCAAGGGAGAAGGAAGCACTTCCCAACTATCGATATGACGACTTCGCCGGCCAGGGTATTACCATCTATGTGGTTGATACCGGCCCGTTCGACTTGCAGCATGAAGAGTTCAGGGCGCCCAGCCCCGACATCACCCGCCGGGAGTTGAACGTTGCCAGGAACAAGAAGTTCACGCTGGAAGATACTCAGCACGGGACGTGTGTCGCTTCCAAGACTGTCGGCGGAACGACCGGGGCTGCAAAGCGCGCGAATCTAGTCGGAGTGCGTATTGACTTCACCGAGTTCGGTCTACTTCGCGGTCTCCAGTCCGCCGCCAATGAGATCAAGCAAAAGGGCCTGAAAGGTAAGGCCGTCGTCACAACGTCCATTCTCATGAGGGCGCCCGACGCCATCTATACGACCTCATTCCGCAGCGTCATGAGGTCCTTCGTCGCCTTGGACGTTCCTATTGTCGCGGCAGCCGGAAACAAGTTCTTGGACGGCCTGACCGAGCCCGACAAGTTGCCGGCATCGATGGCGAAGGATTTCCCCGTCATCGTGGTAGGCAACGCAGGGAGGGATTTCAAAATAGCCCCGAAAAGCCAGCGCGGTAATCTCGTGACGACGTATGCCATCGGTGCGGACATCAAGTGCGCGGATCCTCTCGACCTGAATGGTCTCGCGACAGATTCAGGTACTTCGTTCGCCGCACCCCAGGTTGCTGGTATGGTGGCATACTGGATGTCACACCCAGAGTTTGCTGGCGACTTGGCGGCAGGCAAGGTGGCCGAGACGCTCCGCAACATGACGGGTGCCCTTTCGTACCCCCGCGTTGCCGAGACGGGATACCCTCCCATCGCCTGGAACGGGCACGACCTGGCCGAATCGTGTTCCATCCCGAACAGTGGAACCGGGAGAAGAGCTAAGCGCGCTATGAGGCGTGACCTCGGCCAGGCGTGTTCGTATGCGCCCACCTCTGTCGCTTCAGCCGCCCCGACAGCCTCAGCCCCGGCCGGCAACGCCCCGCCGTCGGGGAGCGACGTGCCTACGGCGACGACAACCTCAGTCACGGAGACGGCAACTGCTGGACCGACAACGTGTAACTTGTGCGGTGCCATGCTCGACAGTGGCAATGCAGGCAATCTGGGAGGACAGGTTGGCTGCGACGGCGCTGAGTACGCCCGGAGCTCGTGCGAAGCTAATGCCGACTGCAAATGTGAGTCTTGAACCTATCTCTCTCACATTATCACTCTGAACAAGACGTGCTGACTGAACATGGTAGCCTGGGCTTACGGCAATGAGGACCGGGGGACATACACCATTCCTGTCTGTCTTCTATTCACAGAATCGGCAACGCAAATCGTCAGCCAGGCTCCGCCAGACCCCGAGGGTAAATGCCCTTTCAGATACCACGATAAGGCATGCCCTGTACCTTGAAGAACCTGTACACATGAATGGCAGCTGAGGGCATCTGCTAAAGACAGCCCCTAGCTAAGAATTTTACTCTTACCCAAACTCGGCAACGGTGTAAGGTCCTCGTCAGTTGGATGTTGCGTTCTATGTAGAATACTTAGAGAGAGACATTGTACATACGTACGTCAGTCTATGAATTAAATTCTTCACAACTTGCTCTTTTACCTCGTCTCTCTTACGGCTTTACCCTAGTTGCTTGTTCATAAGAAACTTACGGAACGGAGGGCCCTCCTTTGTTACCTGAAGCAGGACGCAACCTGTTAGAGACTTCAAAGTGAGATGACATCACGTAGAGCTGACAAATTTATGACCAAATTTTCAGATTACTGTAACATTATCTAGAAAAGCCCAAGAACGTCTCCCTACCGGTAGCATAGCTCAGAAAACCTTTGTCGAAAGTTAATGACTATTCATAATAAGAGAAGGGCTAGTCAGCAAGATAGACTCTTCATACGAGGCACAACGGCATGCTTTAAAAGATTCCCAAGACACGTACGTCTCGTCGTGTGAGATTTTCAAGGGGATTGGAGCGTTGTGGTAGGAGTGAAAGTTCTACGTGGACGGATACGGCATTGCCTGTATGTGGCGCACAAGACTCAGACCGGACGACTTAGAGAAAGAGAAGCACCATTGAAAAAAAAGACCCCACACCAGACCCTAAGGACAAGAATCCAGAGTTTGAACCGGCTCTGAATCCGTCTACATTGGGGACTGGTACCAACCCATTGGTGATGCCCTAGGGGCAGACTACACGCAGCTCCCAACGACCAAGAACAAAATACTCAATCTCTGAAGCCTCTACGCCGCCACAGACCAACGGTATCCTATCCAACTTCTTCTACGAGAATACTGCTGGCAAGGGAATCACGATGTACAGTAGCGACTACATGATCTCCCTCCAAGAGTGGTATATTGCCGCTGCTCGTCCCTCGAATACCGATGGTGTTGCAGGCCGAACAGTCCGAGTCATCGCATATACCGCACAGTCCGCCAATAATTTTCCCAGTAGGCGTTGTCGGCTCAACCAGCAGAGGGCTCGAGAAGTTCTGGTGCAGTCAACGGGGCAACCTCCTCATCACCTGGGTTGCAGGCGAGAGTGTGAGGTGCTCAAGTTCTACCTAACTCGCCGGGCTGAAGTTCGAGACCGGCGGTACGGTTACCGCTACGGCGACTTCCCCTGCCGACGACAGCTTCCGTATGCTCGCACGGCGCCTTTCAATGTCGCTGTCTAGCCAGGAGTGCATGTTGGTGAATACCCCGGTAGAGACGGAGACTCAACTACTAAAGTACAGCTCAGATCACGCGGATCGACATGCCGGTAGGATATCTTACGCTCTGAAGATAAAGAGGTCAGATGCGGGAAGATAGTTCCTCATCGAAGGCGCAATTTGTTGTCGCGAAGGTCAGGGTTCGTCACTCATCGTATTATATATAAACTTCTCAAACTCAAGGGTTGTTCAAGGACCTTCACTCGCAGTTTTTGAACCCACGACATACACGGTATGCCTTTCTACCCGGGATGGAAGTACTGGTATATTAATAGGCCAAGGCCGGGAATATTCGACGATGAACCCAAAGCAAATGATCCAGGACTTATGGTCGATTTACATTGTGGCGAGCGAAGTGATACTGCGCTACAGTCTCATAGGCATCGGAGCAGCCATCCCAGATGGCATCCCCAGAATCACCGCAAGCCTGTCCGAGTTGCTTCACCATCGTCCTTGATCGTCGCCAAAGTATACTGGAATACAAGAATAACCTACTGGTGACATTAGCCTTCGCTCCGGTGGACCAACCACGAGGATGAGATCCCCGACACGCATGGCTGAAACCTGAGAACACACTCGGCCAGTACATTTACTGGTTCGCTTTGACGACCTGATTGTGTCTTGTGGCCATGCCACTTACACGAGGAGCACACCTTTAAATAGGATTAGATACGTGCCGGACTTTTCACCACCTATTACCTCAACTGCCCCCAAGCAATCCCAGCCCTCCTTTCACCAGGGCTTCCTCTCTGCCTCGTCTCAGCCCAAAGACACATTCAACACATATCCAGCCTCATGAACTTGTTCAATGATTTGATTCTCAAAAGACAATGGTCTCAACTATGCCCCAACACGCCGTACTCGGACGTAGGAAGTTTAAAAAAGAAAAGAAGCCCGCACAATCCAAAGTCTACCCACTTCTTGCCCCCCCGTACGGCAGTGACACTTCCATTTACGCAGGAGTATCCTACCCTCGAGGGCAAGGGGGAAACAAAGTAGACACCAACAAGGGGGGAACGCAAACCTCATGCATTCCCTGGCATCCTGCCGCCCCCTTCCCCCAAAACGCTCCTAAACTCCGATTCCCTAGTATCTTTCTCTTCTTGATGCTCTTTTTTTGTGGACAATCAAGTGCAAACCAATGTGCGTTTGTGTAGGTTATTCGCGGTTCCGATGCCCGGTATCCCCCTCTGTCCGATATGGAAAGAAACGAGGAGCGATAGCCAAGTTTCTGTATCCAGAAATGTGAGAAAAGGAATGTTTTCCCATCCGCCATCCGTCCCGGGTTGTGTTTTCTATTCTGTCGTGTGACTCGGCTTCCTTAAAAAGTGTGCTGTCGATCGAGAGGTGAAGAAGAAAAGACAAAGTGAAGATTCTCTGATCCGAGGCCTGGTCTGGTCTATGGCCGGCGTGGTTCGGTATGCACATCTTTCCTCGTGTGCTGGGTGGTCCGTGTTGTATCGCGGTGAATTGTAAATGTGGGTATAGCCGGCCGGAGGTTACGGAATGGAGCTGGTATCGCATGAGAGGAGGTCCGGCTGCGGCTGTGGGTGGTCCTGTGCTGTCTGGAGGCAGCCTGACTGAGATCATTGCAACAAGTCCTTGACGTTCTCTTTTACGCTCAACGCCCACTTCAACTTAGCCAATGTCGATCTCGTCTCCTCCAGCAACCTCTCCTGCTCCGCTTCCCTCTCCGCTGCGTTCGTCTTGATGCTCTTCAATGCCTCCTCTTGCTCCGTCTTGTAATCCGAAAACTTCTTCTCCATGTCCTCCTTCTGCCGTTGCAGCTCCTTGATGTTGCCGTCCTGCTGGTCGCACAGATCCCTCAACGTCGTGATCTTGTCGTCGTCCCTCCTCCTCTCCTCGACGAGTCCCGCAATCTCGGCACGGAGCTTGAGATGCGCGCGCTTCACCTCGTCGCCCTGGTCCTTCCAGTGCGAGCTGATGGCGTTATACCGCCCCTCCATCAGCGCGGCGTGCGTGTTGGCGTCCTCGACCTGCTTCGTCGTGCTGGACCGCATCTTCTCCATCTCGTCGCGCCACATCTGCTCCTTGGCCTGCGCGTCCGCCGTGCGCTTCTTCTCGAGCTCCACGTTCCCCTGGAGCGTCTCGACCTGGCGCTCCTTGCGGCTGAGCAGCGTCTTGGTGACGCTCGCCTCGAGCAGGCGGCTCTCGTAGTCGCTGATCAGGCGCTCCATCTTGTCCTCGACGAGCTTGGCGGCCTGCTTCGCCTCCTCGGCCCGTAACCGCTCGATCTGGATGTCGCGCTTGAGGGCCTCGTTGTCGCTGACGAGCTTGTTGATGACGCGGCCCGTCTTGCCCAGGCCCGCCTTGCCGATGGTCGAGTCCCAGCCGGCGCCTTGGGATTCGGCGGCGACGGCGGTGTCGTCGTCGACGGGGGGCGAGCCGTCCCTCGGCTTGAGGGTTGCGTCGCCGTTGGACCATTCCTGTTTTAGCTTCACGCTCGGGGGCGTTCTGTCTTGGTGGTTGGAGGCCATGCTGACGGCGCTGGCGTTGCTGTTTACGGAGGATGAGAAGGCGGAGTTGCGGGAGTGGTGGGTGTCGGAGCTCGTGTCGCTCGCGGCTTCGAAGCTGGGTACTGTGCGGATGGTCTGGACCATCTTTTGGGTGCCTCGGGGAGACGGGGAGGGGCTGCTCGTCGACTGGATTCTGGTGTTCCCGTCGAAGCGAGTGCTCATGCTAACGTTGCGGGAAGCACCGGCGTTTGATGGTGCGAGGCTGCGGTTGGACTGTGGACCATTTAACGGGGTGGTTGTCGTCGTTGTGGTCGCCGCAGAGGAAGGGTTCGCTGAGGATGCGGTGCGTGTGTCTATGGTGAGAGGAGAAGTTAGCCAAGGAGAATTCTCCCCAGAGATCTGCGTATCCCCCTCTCTCTCGGGCCGTTGAAGGTAGTGGCGCAAGGACGGAAGCGACGTCGATCGAGAGAGGCTTAAGGAGTGGTGGACTTTGGGCGGACGGGGCGAGGTTTCAAGCAAACAGCGGCAAGGACGGGGACCCTTACCGAGAATGAAGCCCTGGAATTCGGGGACTTGGGGAGGATTAGAGGGGATGCGCTGCGTCTGTTGCTTCTGTGGTTTTTGGAGTTTACTGGGCATGTCTCTCGTTCATTTTCCGTCTTGTTAAGGTTGAGTAGTCCGGGTAGGCTGGTCGAGGATAAGATAGTTCGCGGGCTGGGTGTTGGGTAGCGCGTGGGAGTAGTAAGGTAGGCGGTTCAGGTATGTAGCAGCGGACGGTGGTTGCGGCAGACGGGAGGATGGGAAAGTTTGGGGGGAGGGGAGCGCGTTCGTCTTTTTTGGATCGGGGGTGTGTTCGCTTCAGTGGTCGAAAACGGCGGGCAGCATGTGCGTCTGATGTCGCGGCGGCCGTTCGAGGGCACGAGGGGTGGCTGACGTGGGATCCTTGGGAGGGTTGGAATGAGAGCTGCAGCTCTGCGTCAAGCAGGACAAGACAAGCGATGGCGATTCCAGACGTTTCTTGGGGCGGAAGTCCGGGGCGATGCTTGGGACGAAGCTCCTCGGTGCGCAATGCAGGCGATGCAGGCGCAGAGCAGCGCAATGGCGATGCGATGCAGGGAAGAAGGAGAATCTCGCTCCGCTCGGTGCCTGGCCTGATCACAGAGAAGGCTGGCTGGGTGGTAGTGGTATTTCGTACACTGCAAGCTACCAGGTACGACTAGAATAAACAGCCGACGAACGTGGGTATGTGTGTTTTGTGTGTCTCTGCTTGCTCGGGGCCGTGTGCTTGGAGGCTACGTCAGTCAGGTCATTTTCCTCTGACAGGAGGTGGGAAAGGAGGGTCGAGCGAGAAGGGGAAAGCCCAGATAAATTAGTGTAAAAGAAGGGCCGCTCTGCTATGAGCATGGGATGGAAGAGAAAGAGGAAGACGACACGACGGGAGAAGTCTCCAGTTTCTCCTTGCAGCGCGTCCAGTCGGTCCTTGTTAGCGAGGCCGGGTTCAATGGCAATGTTTTTCTGCGGCCCCCAGATTCCATTTCTAAAGTGGATGCCTTTCCATTTCCTTTTTTTCGGTGCACTTGCAAGCAATTCGCACGAAGCCGGTTCAGGCACAAGCAAAGCACAGGCATAATTAAGACTCACACGCGGATGGGCGGGAGCCACCACACCGCGTCGGGGAATCAACACCGCCCAGCTACGAAAACAGTCTAGCACAACACAACCACCTCTCACTTACATAGTATGATAAGGTACTTTACTTGTGCAAGTACTGCCGCCATCGCCAGGCCTTGCCCACCACACTCACGCCAGACTCCCGACCGGCTGGGCAGGCAAATCACAGCGGACCACGAGCCCTGCGAGGCCACCATCTCCCAGGTCCTTCCGGGCTGCCGCAGCAGGGCCAGCCAGTCGGACCCCACTAAAAAGCAGGAGACCACCCTGTTCCCCAGCAACGAAGATCGCTGCTGCTGCGTCACTCTGTATCCGTCCAGTACTGGGTGCTGCTGAGAACACAAGTCAATGCACGGCCCCTCGCATGTCCTCTTTCGTGACCCCCGTCCGTCTTTTTTGTGCCTGGCCATCTTAGCTGAGGGGCTCAGGCAAGGGGAACATGGTGAAGCATTGAGGCGTTGTTGTCGATGTCACTTGAAAACGGACGCTGATGGTTGGATGCATTACATCGAATTTCCCTCACGTTTGAGTTGAACAACAACAACCGCAGCATAGCACCCCTTTCTCCTGCGGCACCACACCCACAACGAACCAGCGCCTACCAACCCATCAAAACCAGAAATATCTTACACAATAGAAGAACAGCATTGCCTCCTCGCATAAAGTCAACTGCACCCCATCTCCCGCTCCCCTCGCCTCCCGCAGAATGAGACTAGCAGCATTCAACGAGAGATGCGATTTAGAGGAAAAAGCAAAGTCCAGCCGCGTCTCCCCTCAATTCCATCCAGTCCCAACTCCGCCCCCGGCCCCCCAGCG